GCGCCACTGCACTCCAGTCTGGGCGACAGAGCGAGACTCCGTCTCAAAAAAAAAAAATAAATAAATAAATAAAAAAAAAATAGAATTTATAAGCAACCATATACTGGAAATTATACCTGAAGGCCAGTCACAGGGAAGAAGAGCTAAGAAGTCTACACTTCTGCTTGGAGAGTACAGGGCCACTGAGACTACTGGTCCCCACTCCCTGGCAACTTCTCCTTTTCAGAATAATGCTGTCTGTGTGGTTTAGATGTGTCTCCCCCTGAGCATCAACAGCAGAAGCTAAGTACCATCAAAGTCACATAAACAAGGCAGTAACAAGTGAACCAGACAGGCACCCGCACCTCAGACAGTCCCTTAGCTATTCCCATCCTGTCAGTCCACAGTGTGACTCAAGTTGTACATCGCTGTCTCTCACTATCTCAGGTCTCAGTCCTCAATATAGCACTTTTTTTTTTTTTTTTTTTTTTTTTTGAGACAGAGTTTCACTCTGTCATCCAGGCTGGAGTGCACGATCTCACTGCAGCCTCCACCACCTGAGTTCAAGTGATTCTCGTGCCTCAGGCTCACCCTCCTGAGTAGCTGGAATTACAGGCACCCGCAACCACACCCAGCTAAGTTTTCGTATTTTTAGTAGAGACGGGTTTTCACCATGTTTGCCTGGCTGGTCTTGAACTCCTGAGCTCAGGTATCTGCCTGCCTAGGCCTACCCTTCCTTCTGGAATTACAGGTGTGAGCCACTATGCCAAGCCCTGCATCTTTATATCTTGTGTGCATCTGGGTATCTCCTTTTTTTTGACCTCATTTGTCATAGTGCACATCAGATTATATTTATTGGTTGGTAAATACATAGATGAATTAGTACATGAAAAAATAAATGATTATACATACACAGATATTAGATTGAATGAAAAGTTATGAAAGATAAATTTTTTGAATGTTCAGTTTATTCATGATCTCATTTTTCCTTCGAGTTTTATTAGCAGAACTTTTCTAAGAGGCATATATGTATGCTGATGTGTGATATGTGTAGGATATCTGTTGAGATGAGAAGTCAGATTAATTTTCAATCCATAAAGCTTACTGTAGACAAGAACTTAAGTGTGTTATTTTTAAAGGTAAATCAGCTTCTAACTTCTTTGTTTAACCATTTCTAACTTCTTTATTTTGTTTAACCACGTTTCCTCTAGCTACTGAGGTCAAACCTGAATTAGGCTGTAGACTCCTCCGGCTGGGTAAGAATGGGAGAAGAGCAGAAAACCTAAACTTTGATTGATGGACTATTTTGCCCAGGCCAAAGCAGGGAATCTATGAGGCATATGAAGACATTCGCCGGGAGAACTCTGTTGGCACTTTCCACTGTTCCATGTAAGTAGGAAAGATGTCGGCCAGCAGCTGGTTACCCGGATGCTTCTGGCGGGCTCTGGCAACAGCTCCTTCCACCCTTCACTTGCTTAACAGAGACCCTTCCTTGTGTTAGCCAACATCACTCCCACATAAATGATGGTTTCTCGCATGCAGAAAGAGGTACTTTCTCCTTTGGTGCTTCTTACCAACATCCTATGCTCTGAAATTTCTGAAGGTCTTTGGTACCAACAGGATAACCCTGTTGGACATGTTTTTTGATATTTTCCCAAAATGCCAGTGTTTTTTTAAAAGGTAGGCTCAAAATAGTCTACTCCCTATTCCTGTTCTCAGTGTGAGCGCTGGTCTGTTCATTTGGGCAGTTTCTCCCCATAGCATTTATGGTATAACATTACATCTTGAGGAGGGGTATCTGGTGCATTTAAAATAATCCATAGTTAGTAAGAGAGAAGAGTTGCCTCTTAGGAATTTAACCTCTTGAGATTTTCATTCTACCCAAATTCCATCACAAAACCATCTGGCTAGTTTATAACTCTGGCTCATAATTACGTAATAACTATATCTTTCCCTCCCTTCCTTCTTTCCTCTTCCTCCCTCCCTCTTTCTTTCTTCTTTCTCCCTCTCTCTCTCTCTTTTTTTTTTTTTTTTTGAGATGGAGTTTTGCTCTTGTTGCCCAGGCTGGAATGCAATGGCGTAATCTCAGCTCACTGCAACCTCTGCCTCCTTGGTTCAAATGATTCTCCTGCCTCAGCCTCCCTAGTAGCTGGGACTACAGGCGTGTGCCACCACGCCCGGTTAATTTTCTGTATTTTTAGTAAAGACGAGGTTTCACTGTGTTAGCGAGGCTGCTCTCAAACTCCTGATCTTAGGTGATCTGCCCGCCTCGGCCTCCCAAAGTGCTGGGATTACAGGCATGAGCCACTGAGCCCGGCTGCCCTCTTTCTTTCCTTCTCTTTTCTTTTTCTTTTTTCCTCTTCCTTTCTTTCTTTTCTTTTTCTTTTTCTTTCTTTTCTTTCTGTTTTTGAGACAGAGTCTCTTGCTCTGTCACCCAGGCTGAAATGCAGTGGCACAATCAGGGCTCATTGCAGCCTCAAATTCCTAGGCTCAAGAGAGCCTCCTACCTCAGCTTCCTGAGTAGCTGGGACTACAGGCATGCACCACCATGCTCAGCTAATTTTTTATTTTTTGTAGAGATGGAGTTTTGCCATATTGCCCAGGCTGGTCTCAAACTCTGAGGCTCAAGTGATCCTCCTGCCTTGACCTCCCCAAATGTTAGCATTACAGGCACAAACCACTACAACTGGTTAGATTATTTCTCTTACCATGTTGCTCTAATTTCTCTATGTTTTAATTGATTGCCCCCAAAACCTCTTTCTCTCTAACTAGTGAGCTCTGTCTGTTGAAAATTACAGAAATTAGGGCTAGGCGCAGTGGCTCACGCCTCTAATCCCAGCACTTTGGGAGCACAAGGTAGGAGGACCACTTGAGCCCAGGAGTTTGAGACCAGATGGGGAACATATCCAGACCCCATCTCTACAAAATTAAAATACAAAAAATATTAGCCAGGCATGGTGGCACACTCCTGCAGTCCTAGCTACGTGGGATGCTAAGGCAGGAGGATCACTTGAGCCTGGGACGTCAAGACCACAGTGAGTTTTGATCATGCCACCAAACTCCAGCCTGAGTGATGAGTGAGAACCTGTCTAAAAAAAAAGAAAATTAGGGAAGCTGTCCTAGCGGGTCCCAGGTTCATATAACAACTTTCCAAAAATTCCCTCTGTGAGTGACACAAGTTATTTCCCTTCTCAGCACTTCGGTTTTCCTCTGTGTAATATGTGACTATTGGACTCTGATATTCACCTACGTTTCTAGCTTAAGTGTTTCAAAAATCCAGGATTCTGTGAGTACCTCTTCCCCCTTGTAACTCCTGCCCAGTGTAGTCAGTGTGCTCTGAATAAGATGCAGGGATAGAGTGTTTTAGCAAAGCAAAGAGGGAAAATCATGAGACAGGGAAAGTCAGAGAGAAGAGGCACTTGGGAAGGAAGTCAATCAGAGCAAGAATGCAAAAGAAAATAAGAGGAGAAAAAGGGGATACAGACCACATATCAACAAGGGAAAGTATTCTTTTCTCCCATACAGCTCTGTTTCTTCCCTACCAGCTCCAGACCCCTATTTTTAATTTTCATTTACTTTTATATATTCTATTTATTCTTTTCTTTTATTTTTTTAATTTTTAGCGACACAGTCTTGCCCTATTGCCCAGGCTGGAGTGCAGTGGCATGATTATGGCTCGCCGTAGCCTCAACTTCTGGATGCTCAATTGATCCTCTTGCCTCAGCCTCTTAAGTAGTTGGACCACAGACATGCATTACCGTGCCCAGCTAATTTTTTTCATTTTTTATAGATACAGAATCTCGCTATATTGCTCAGGCTGGTCTCGAACTCCTAGGTTCAAGTGATCCTCTTGCCTCAGTTTTCCAAGGTGTTGGGATTATAGGTGTGAGCTACCACGCCCAGCTACCAGACCCCCTATTTACATCCAATCTCTTTCCCAAACAGAACATTATTCCCTTGCAGTCTTGTTGTTGTTGAGACAGAGTCTCAACTCCATCACCCAGGCTGGAGTGCAGTGGTGTGATCTTGGCTCGCTGCAACCTCCGCCTCCTGGGTTCAAGCGATTCTCTTGCCTCAGCCTCCTGAGTAGTTCCTGAGTAGTGTGCCACCAAACCTGGCTAATTTTTGTATTTTTAGTAGAGATGGACTTTCACCATGTTGGCCAGGCTGGTCTCAAACTCCTGGCCTCAAGTGATCTGCTTGCCTCGGCCTCCTAAAGTGCTGGGATTACAGGTGTGAGCCACCACGCCCTTTATCTTATGAGATAATTGTAGATTCACCTGCAGTCGTAAGACATAATAGACAGATCACATGTACCCTTTCTATAGTTATCCCATGGTAACATCTTCCAAAACTACTGTGTAATGTCACAGCCAGAATGTTAACATTGATACAATCAACCAATCTGATTTAGACTTCCCCACTTGCACTTCATTTGTGTGTATTTAGTTCTGTGCAGTTTTGTCACACGTGTAGGTTTTGTGTATCTGTCACCATAGTCAAGATATGAAGAGTTCCAACACCACAAGCCTCCCTCTCATTACCCTTTAATAAACATATACCTCCTTCCCACCACTTCCCCATTCCTAACCCCTGCAGCCACTAATCTATTCTCCATTTTTATAATTTTGTCCTTTCCAAGTTGTTACATCAAATAACATTATATAAAACATGTAGGCTGGGCGCGGTGGCTCACGCCTCTAATCCCAGTACTTTAGCAGGCCGAGGTGGGCGGATCATGAGGTCAGGAGTTCGAGACCAGCCTGGCCAACATGGTGAAACCCCTCTCTAGTAAAACTACAAATACAAAAATTAGCCTGGCATGGTGGCACGTTCCTATAATCCCAGCTACTCAGGAGGCTGAAGCAGGAGAATTGCTTGAACTGGGACCAGGGAGGCAGAGGTTTCAGTAAGCTAAGGTTGCACCACTGCACTCCAGCCTGGGCTACAGAGCGAGACTCCGTCTCAAAAAAAAAAAAAAAAAAAAAAAAAGGATTTTCTCCTGCAGCTGTGGCCGGGGCATGGCGACTTCAGGCTCTGTGACTCTGGAGGCCCCCTTTGAATCATCGAAGCCTCCCGTCATTGAGGGGTTTAGCCCACTGTTTACAGCAATCCAGAGGGTTTCAAGGAAAAGTTCCTTTGCAAGACGTGCCAGAATACAGTGGTACCCATAGGTTGCCTGGGCACGGCGGCCGCCCTCACCAAAGGCCTCTACTGCTTCCACCAGGGCAACAGCCACTGCTGACAGCTCAAGATGCGTGTCCGGATCGCCGCCCAGGGCTTCACCGTCGCAGCCATCTTGCTGGGTCTAGCTGCCCCACTATGAAGTCTCGACCCTGAGCCCAGGGTCTTGAAACCTCTGCAGAAATCATTCCCAAATCCAGGAGCAACCAGTGGCCCTACCATGGGACTTACTCCCTCCTCTCCTTTGAGAGGTCCCTGTGTCGTTGGGGGAGGAAGTGACCCTTTGTGTAACCGTAACTGAAAGATTTTTTCAAAAATCCCAGATTTTATTGTTTGAATGTTACATACTTCTATTTGTGCCACATCTCCCGCCGCTCCCCTGCTTAATAAACTCTAAAAAAAAAAAAAAGTAAAAAATTGCATACATACTGTATGTAATCTTTTAGGATTGCTTTTATTAACTAGGCATATTTGTATGGGATGGGGGATTTTTTTTTTCTTTTTTGAGGTGGAGTCTCCCCCTGTCGTCCAGGCTGAAGTGCAATGGCAAAATGTAGGCTCACTGCAACCTCTGCCTCCCGGATTCAAGCAATTCTCCTGCCTCAGTCTCCCAAGAAGCTGGGATTACAGACACGCAGCATCACCCCCGGCTAATTTTTTGTATCTTTAGTAGAGATTAGATTTCACCACGTTGGCCAGGCTGATCTCGAACTCCTGACCTCATGATCCACCCACCTCAGCCTGCCAAAGTGCTAGGATTACAGGCATGAACCACCGCGCCTGGCCAGGAAGGTTTTTAAGATACAGAAAAGTACAAAGCATGATATTACAAACAAATATGTTCCTACCACAGAATCAACACTGACTATTGTTAATATTTTGTTATATTTGCTTCACTTTTTTTTTTAAAGAGAGAAGGTCTCACTCTGTCACCCAGGCTGGAGTGCAGGTGCAGTGGCACTGTCATAGCTCACTGCAGCCTCGACCTCCTGGGCTCACATGATTTTCTTGTCTTAGCCTCCCTAGTAACTGGGACTAGAGGCACAGGCTACCATACCTGGCTAATTGTTTTAAAGTTTTTGTAGAGATGGAGTCTTGCTCTGTGGCCCAGGCTGGTCTCGAATTCCTGGGCTCAAATGATCCTCCCACCTCAGCCTCCCAAAGCACTAGGTTTACAGACATGAGATACTGTGCCTGGTTGTCTTTATTATTATTATTATATAAAAGAAAGAATGTATTATAAAGTTGGAATCCCTTCTAATCCTCGTCCTTACTTCTATTAGTCATAAGCAGCTACTAGTATGAATATGATCTCCCTTCCTTCCTTCCTTCCTTCCACCTTTCTTTCTCTTCCTTCCTTCCTTCTCTCTTTCTCTTCCTTCCTTCCCTCCCTCTTTCTTTCTCTTCCTTCCTTCCCTCCTTCCCTTTCTTTCTCTTCCTTCCTTCCTTCCCTCTTTCTCTTCCTTCCTTCCCTCTTTCTCTTCCTTCCTTCCTTCCCTCTTTCTTTCTCTTCCTTCCTTCCTTCCCTCCCTCTTTCTTTCTCTTCCTTCCTTCCCTCCCTCCCTTTCTTTCTCTTCCTTCCTTTCCTCCCTCCCTTTCTTTCTCTTCCTCCCTTCCTTCCTTCCCTCCCTCCCTCTTTCTTTTCCTTCCTTCCTTCCTTCCTTCCTTCCTTCCTTCCTTCCTTCCTTCCTTCCTTC